CTGAGTTCGGTTCCAATGACATTGGCTGGCGCTGCTTATGGTTTTGGTTTTTGTTTTTTTGTTTTGAGAGAAGCTGGGTGAAATTATTTATGTTTCTAGATTTTGATTGGATGTCCTTATGTTTCATATACTCTTATATTTCTGCAAACTATTGGGTTCAAACAGGGGTTAGTCTTTTAAACAATTCAAAATGCAAGTATATGAAACCAATCCGTGCAGTTGGTTTTAAAAAAAAAATTCCCTAGTTATTTTTCTGTGTTTCCACACCTCCTGGTTTGAAGTTGGGATGTCTGGCTTGGAGGTAATGCCCACTACAACACAAAAATAAGATGACAGCATTTATGATTGTAAAAATTGAATAGCTATCTAAATGTCTAAGCTTGACCTGAACTTAGCCTTGAATTAGTCTCTTAGGTCCCAGCCACTGCTCTTATTCATGTCTTAATAGGAATATAGGAATACTGAAAATATTTTGCTCTTACTCAGTATCCTAAGGAGCCTTCTTCTTTTTAAAACTTTCTTTCCTTCATCATTTAAAAAAGTCTTTCTTCTTCTCACACCTTGCCTATGGCCATTCTGTTTTATATCTGAGACTATCCCAGCAAAGAAAATGTCTTGACCTTGAGTCGAAGGTCTGCTCCCTGGGAAGGTGGGTACAGAATCTCCCACGAAGTGGAAAGGAGGAGTTGTCACTGTGAGAGCTGCAGACAGGTGGGGACTCTTGGCGAGGGTGGTGTTCGGCGCAGTGGAGTGGTAGTATATCTGGCTACCACACTGCAGTCTTGCCCAGCCCTTCGCAAATAGACTCCTTCTTTAATTCTCGCTGTGGTCTGCACAAATGATACACTGATTCAGAATTGCAGACCGACACCTATCCAGTGTTCAACTCTTCCAACCCTCATCCTTCTCACTCTGGGGGCTGACCAGTGTGTCATACACTACCAACCACAAGGCTGGTGTCTCTCATCTTCCTCAATGACTTGAGATACAGACTGGGTTAAAAGTGGGGGTAACTTGAAGTACAGCTTTCTCTAAGACAGGAGGGCAGAGAAATGTGTGTCTTCTGCCAGGAATACACAGAGACTTTGGGCCCCCCAATAATCCACAACGTTTTGGGATTGTAATAATCTAAATGTGTTCTTACTTGTCAAATGAAAGGACTACCAGAGATGGTTTTGAAGTTCTACCAAACTTCTGATGGTAATGGGGAAGCAAAACACCAATGCTTCTCAGCTCCCAGGCTCCTCCCTCCCCGCTACCTCTGTTCTCCCTCTCTCCTTCCTCCCTTCTCTCATCCCTCTCTTTTTTTTCTTCCTTTCACAAACTCTAATATGTCTGTGCTAACCATATTACCCTTTCCAAATTCAAGGGAGATGTTCACAGGCTAAATTCCCTTTTTAAGTGTTTTAAAATATGGAATATCCTTACAAGCTCCGACTGCCCAGCACTTTGTAAAGGAGGAAGTGCAGCTTCTGTGTAGCATCCCCCCCCTCCCCAGTTTTCACGAAGCTGCTTCTAAACATCTAAAATCTAGGACACAGTTCTGCATGAGGCACCTTACAAAGGCAGACAGAATCTAATGGAGAGAGCAGAGGAAGAAAGCTCCTGAGCTGTGGTGTGAGGGATGTGGACACTTGGGTCACGGTGCTGACCAAAGTCTGAAATTTCAGTTTTCACAAATGCAGAAGGCCTACTGGTTCTTCCTGCAGCCCTCTGTAAAAGCCAGAACACTTAGAACTAGATAGGGCTCAATTACACATCTATGGAATCCAGAACCAAAGTCGATCCCAGCAAAGGCAAGGCAAACATTCGCTTTTACAGTATTGTGTATGTTGATGTCGTAAAAAAAAAAAAAAAACCTCTCCATGTTTTGTTTTCCTTCTCTGAAAGACAATGCCCCCAAAAGAGCATTGAACACAGACACACACACACACACACACACACACACACTGTTAAAACCACAGTTTTCCAGTATCTGAAAATCCTGGAGCAAACCTCGTTTACACACGGAAACCCCAGCTTGTTTTACAGACTTTGTGAAGTTTGATCAGAGTGGTTCAGTAATGTGGGTTTTAAAGAACAATCAAGCCTCCCAGATAGGGACCACACAGTGCAGCCAGCCTGTTCCTTCTTGATGTCATCTCAGAAGAGGGTTTCAGTTTACATGGGACACCAGCCTCTATGACCAGGGAGCAAGTTTACTTTTAACAAGTCGAAGTGATAATCACGGTCTTGTGCCCTTTTGTTAATGGTATGAATTTTATTTCTCAATGGGCTTTTTGTAAACGGGATACTCATTTAAAAGTTATCGGATTTGCAAGGCTTCCTCTCCCCTCTCTCTTTGAGAGATCTGTTTTCTCTGTCTTGAAAATGCAGAGAAGCCCTTTTTTAGAGAACTCCTTGTCTTCAGGAGATTTCAGATACACTCAGGTCATATCATAGCTCCCAGGATGTGAGAATTATACAGAAATCCCTGATAGAGCACTGTTACCTTCAAGGTTAATAGCAGCCTCCCTTCCAGCCCAAGGACCACCCAGTTCCCATGAGAAAGGACTTTTCTTTCCTGTTCTTGTAATTCATTACTGGGTAAACTCAGTACGATTATCTTATAGTTACTTCCAAAGATATACTGCAGAGCTCTGGGCCTGTGAGCCCTCCCAACTCACTGTATACCGGCCAGGCACTCCTGCAAAGTTGCCTTCTGAAGGAGATGCTTAAAAACACACTTGTCTGTGGGATTGGACTAACCTGAAGGGAAGCGTTACCCTTTCAGCCTTCTATCTTGTTGGGTATGAAAAGACGTTTTTGAGGCTCTTGTTTGGGATGGGCAGTCCCAAATACTTTGATGTCCCCTTCAAGGAGAGCTCATCTCCACTTTGCAGAGGAAATAAAAATTAAGTCTTCCAGGGACCTGTCCCCAGTCATAGAGCTAGACACTATCTGAGAACGGTCTTCCGACCTAAGCTTTCTAAAGCATGACCCCTTCATGTCCCTCCAGGGGACAACGGAGAAAGATTGTGTGGTTTTCTGGTCATCCCCAGCTTGTACATACCTTAAAATCCATGCTCTCGTGACGAAAGGTGAGGCAGGGCACTAACTTTGACCTTAAAGAAATCCCTGGTTGACCTCCAACAAAACTGGGAACATTGGCAGCCAATCCTGACAGTGAAAGATCCTGTGAGCTACTGAATTTCTTCACTTGGTAACAAGACAAGTCAGTGGCTCTGTTACCAGGACCTTCTCCAGTGCTAGGAAGAGGCTAGTAGCAGTCTTGGAAGTCAGACAGAGCTGGGTTCAAATCTCATGCCCATCACTTACAGGCATGATGGATGACCTAACTCAGCTAGGATTTAGTCACTCATCTGCAAAGTAAATGAAATCCTGATGCTCCTATTACAAACCTGCTATAATGAATAAAGTATCATATATACCCAACTTAGACCAGAGTGTTTTTAATGCTTAATAAATTTGAGGTAACGTTATAATCATATAGAGCTTCTGATAATTGGGATAGCGATGCAGGTATCTATCATCAGATTGCCTATTATCTATCAAACTGCCATCTATCTATCTATCTATCTATCTATCTATCTATCTATCTATCCATCTACCCATTCAACTATCTATCTACCTATCATCTATCCATCTACCCATCCAACTATCTGTCTATCTATCTATCATCTATTTATCTTGTCATTTCTGTTCATCTGCTTTTATTAGGTAAGTTGAAGAAAGGAAGGAAGGTTTTTATCTGTCAATACAGGCTTTAAATATTTCATTTTAATATCACTGTACCAAGATCCACTTGCTGTTAGCTCAGGTAACAAAACTACATTGCCAAACAAGTTGTCCTGACTCAGTCTGCCTAGATTCTTGCATGAGAGGTCTTGGATACAATTTTTGTGTCTAATTCTTATACCACAAACAATAAGTACTCAGATTCTTTTATTCATAAAAGTATAAACATGTGCTTTTTATAGAAAGGAGGTGTGTGTGTGTGTGTGTGTGTGTGTGTGTGTGTGTGTGTGTGCATTGACATGCTTAGGGAATGGAGTAAGGGATGACTAATGCTAATTGCTTTACGAATGTGAGATTGGAACTAGAATAGAAATAAAAAGCTAATATCAGAAAATTCTATGCAATATAGCAATGAAACAATCTCTAAAAATAACAGGAAATAGAATCATGTCAGATTCATATTGAGTGAAGAGTTATTGTTAATAATGGTCACTTTAAATAATTTTTGTGTAGCTATGGTTTAGATCTCTGGGACAACTATTGGTGATTTTTGCTGTTTTTTAAAATTCTTTATCTATCTATTTATCATCTATCTATCTACCTATCTATCATCTATACATCTATTTACCATCTATCCATCTATCTATCTATCATCTACCTACCTACCTACCTATGTATCTATAGATCAGGCAACTGATTAGCAGGTGATCGTTTTGGGCAGAGAACAGGAAATTAGCTATTCAGAAGTTGGTAGATGTTCACTGTTTCTTATTAAAGTGTTTGTGTATTATTTCTTATGTACAGACTTGCTTTCCATAGTAGTCTAGAGAGAACTGCTTTATTATTTAAAAATCAATGGGTCTATATTAATTTTTGTAGCTAGTTGTAACTGGAGAATCTTGACCATTGAAAGAATGTTTATGCTGTAAAATATTAATTTGCATAAATTATGGGATGTGGGAATATTTCTTTTGTCTGATCAGAAACAAAGGCAAGGGGGTTTCCCAAGAGCGTATTCACGCATCTCAGAGGAGGTCACTCCATGGGAGTCCTTTGTGGTGAGGGGTTGCATAGATACCTCTTTATCATTTAGCCAACAGTGAGAAAGAAGCAGCCATTGAAACACACAGAAGATGAAGTGTACAGTCTTGATACCTCATCTGCAGTCCAGAACATTCTACCTGGAAGCAGAGCTCTTGGCCCAGCACTTGTAAATAATGTCAGGCAGGAGACTACATGACTTCCTTTTTTGTTTTTTTCAGAAAGCGGAGGCCATTGGAGAAAAGCGGCCAAGAGGCAGACCTAGGAAATGGGTGAGTAGTGAGATACAGTTTTCCCTCTTAAAAGCAAAAGAATGTTTTTTAAAAAAAAAAAATTAAAATGAAAAAGAAAGTTGTGTTTCATGGATGACGAGAATTAGTAACTTCCGGCATGCTGGAGTCTTTGGAAGATCTTTGAGGCACATGACCTATGATTTTTCTTACCGTTTGATTCCAGAGCTCACTGCCTCTGCTCCCTGGAGGTGACTCCTTTCTTTCTCTTCCCACATCAAAGGAGTCTCCACTCTTCCTGCCAGGGGTCACAGGGATGATTTGTTTACAGGTTGAGTAACGAGAGCCCTCAGAAGCTGATTACGATGGTGATAAAATTCAGACGAAACATGAATGAGATAACTTTTTTTTTTGTTTTAATGTTTTTCTCTTTGCGGTTTCCTCTCTGGCTTTTGCTTTGCCCTAGTCTCATGTTCTGACTCTTTGCATGTTCTTTATCACATTGGTTTCTTCAGGAAATAGGTGTGATCTCCAGCAGCCCCAGGAGCCTTAATTGTCGTTCTCCATAGGGACAGCAGAGGCCTCGGTGTCAGGCACGGGACCCACCTTCCCTGGAAGGGCTTCCCACTGACAGGGAAAAGGAAGCTGTTTCTCAAGACTTTGCCTCTCCTCCCCCCAAAGCGCTGCTCTGGTTTGCTCCTGCTCCCTCCACCTTTTAACGTTTCTTTCCTGCCCTGCTGGGTTGCATTTCCCGCCTTAGTTTGCTGCTCCTCTCCCGCAAGCTCTACATCACTTCCTATTTATACCTCGGTGTTGCCTTTCATTTAATTTATTCATCTTGTATTCTTTTTCCTCCTCCGCTCCGCATGTGTTGGGATTAGATTTCTTAGCACAAGGAAACGGGGATGATCTTTAGATTAAAAACATTTTACGCGTTGCAGTGGAACCTTAAAAGTAAATGCATTTTATGGAGCCTGTTTTCCAATAAGGGAATTCTCTCCCAGGCTTATCTACGTGGCCATCCTCCACTCTAGGCCCCATTACGGTAAACAAAGGAATCACACAGCCCCCTAGGCCACCTCTTCCTCTCACAAAGGCTCAGGACTTAAGAACCAACCCCTATCTCTCCTGAAATACAACCCCCCCCCATTCATTCACAGTAAGCCTTCAAATATTTGACAACAATTAACTGACTCCAATCCTTCCACCCCCACCTCATCCTGCGCAAAGAAACATTCTTGTTACTTGTTTTGGAGTACATTTGTTTTATTTATTTGTTTGCTTTTTAATATTGTGAAATGTGTTCCCCCGAGCTACGGATCACAGTCCAGGTGTGGGTTCCATATACAGTGCGTGTGTTACCTGTGTTGTACATGTGGTTATCTATTGCTGCTACATCTATGTTCTGGGAGCACAGTAGTATGGATCATCAACTATTTCATTATGCTTACCTGTTCTTTGGGACAAGAGTACGGACAGGGCAGATCAGAATATGTCTGCTAAGAGGACGTCAGCATTTAGCCACGCCTCTAAAATTCAGGGCCTGGAATTGGAAGGTCCAATTAGCTACAGGTCCTTTGGTTGGAAGTCTGGTCCTGTCTATGAGTCCTCAGACAGCTCACACTGTAATCGGATGGTCTCGGTCTTCTTAGCTGTACTCATAGGTCAGTAACTTGGAAGGAAACACAAACTTACTTCCAGAAATCAGAAAGTCCTGCCACGGTTCCACTCTAGAGAGCATAGCACGAGCTAGGCCGCTGGTGCACACAGACTAAATGCAGGCCTGCCGTTTCCTAAGCATCTGAGCTCCGAAAGGGCACCCGATACCCTGGATGAATCACCAAGGGAGACCTGCGTACGTTTGCTAATAGGCAACAGAGTAGTCAACAGGTGAGACCTTTGAAGTCATAGGAGTAGCAGGACTAAAATGAAATAAGTTGTAAACTGTTAAAGAGAAAAATCAACCAATTGTTTTAAGTCTCTGCTTTCCATACCTAACGCCTTTGGGGTACCCTCTGCTGCGATAATTCTCGGCTCTCTAAACACTGTGACCCTTTAGTACCATCCCTCATGTGGTGACCCCCCAAGCATACAATTACTTCATTGCTACTTCATAACTGTAATTTTGCTGTTGTTATGAATCGTAATGTAGATATCGGATATGTGACCCTCACAGGGGTCCTGATCAGCCGCTCCTCTAATATCGAGTTTAACCTCCAGGAACCGTAGTCACATCTGTTCTCCTAGTTGGTTGCAGCCCACTGCAGTGCCCCAGAACCCTCCAGTTTATACCCACTTCCTTGGTGGCGCACACAGCTGTTCCTCTCAAATCTAGAGCGCTTAAAGGGTGTGTACAATGCTTTTCTAAAGGGGTTCTTGTTTATTGGAGGGTACCTGGTTTCTAGACATATCTTCACCCTGGTGAGAACACCTGGGAAGTGTATCAACCATGGAGATCCTGGCTTCCTGGGAACAGCTGTGGGACTCCTTCTGACTCGCCTGGCTGTGAGACTGGATGGGTTTTGTGTGGTGCATTGCAGCAAGCCCCCGGTTTGGTCTCAGAAAAAGAGTCGCTCTGCTTCGGAGGGGAATTAAAAGGAAATGGTCTATTTTTTTCTAGACAACGTGTTTCCTCTTTGCTCACACAGCTCCTGTAGGTGACTGTGCAGTCTGTCCCCAGCCAGGCATTCTGTTCAGGGGCATCATTTGCTGGGAAAGTTTATATGGAGCAGTAGGTCACTGTTTCCCATAGGAAGTGGCCTTGGGCTTTATGCTAAGTATGAGCCTTTCCAACAGTTCCGTCCACCGGTTCCTTGAGTTGTAGATATCTTTTTGAACTGTCTGGATTGCCTTGGTAGTTGGTTTAGAGGCCAAATTGTTCCCTTTATTGTTGTAGATTTTGCTTTAAAGTTCTTTTGCTAATACATACATACATAGATATATACAAACATACATATATATATATGTATGTATATATCATATAAATCTTTTTAAAGATAAGTTTATTTAAACAAGAAGATACTTGAATTGAAGGGTTTCGAGGATTCATTCTTTTCCGGTATAATTTACCCCTACAGGTTGCCCCACATGTAGCAACTACTTACAAAAAGGTTGCAAAGTTGTCTTTGTAATGATAATTGAAAAACATTGAAATTCTCCAAGTGAGCAAAGTATGCAGGCAGTGTATGTCATTGAGTTTTTTAATTCACTTACTTGATTTTTAAGAGGAGAGCTGAACGAACTAATGGAGGAAGAGGCAGAGCCAGTGCCTTCTCCTAGACCAGCTCCATCTGATGTTGAACAAAACAGAACATTGGTTATTTAGTTTGAGGAAGGTAGGAAGGAAGGAAGGAAGGAAGGAAGGAAGGAAGGAAGGAAGGAAGGAAGGAAGGAAAGAAGGAAGGAAGGAAGGAAGGAAGGAAGGAAAGAAGGAAGGACGCACAATATGCTTGTGTCTAATAAAGCAGTGGTGAAGGAGAAATGAAAGAAAAGAGAACACTGGGTTGTTTAGGACCAAACGGAGGCTCTCTAGTTGAGAATGTACTCAACACAGTCCTGGAGTCAAGCGGCAGATTCCCTTTTTAGTAGACGCTCCTGTCTGCTGCTGGACACATCAATCATCTTCATCCGCATTTCCAGCTGTGCAGGTGTGTCTGTGTCACTACTTGTTGCTCGTCAGGCTGGAATCTCATCCACCTCGTTAACAAACAGGTAACATTTCACAGTAGGCTTTCACTAGTGTTTGCTCCTTCATCCTAACCTGTCCCACAGAGCCGCCTTGCTCACCACCTTGAAATTAATGTTATCATTCTTCCCAGTCTTGACTCCTTCCTTGGGTTTCTCATCAGCTATGGCAAGCGTTGGGGTCTCCTCAGCTGCCACTTCACAAAAGAAGGCGCCAGGCACACACCCTGTTCTAGTAATCTTACAGACCTCCGTAGCTGGCCTGGAAAGAGCATTTATTGTAACTGCAGTCAGTAGTTGGGTTGGTTCACCAAAACTATATAGATCTGAGGAGAAGCTGCCATCAGTCCCGACTATTGGAAAGGATGGGGAACCAGTGGGCCCAGTGATTCCATGAGCACGCTCATTAGAGATGGGTAGGAATACTTCTACTCTCCACTGCTCCTTTGATCTATTCTCTCCTCTGGTTTTATTAGATTTCAGATCTATTATTAGATATGGGTTTCTGGATTTTCATTCTTTGTCTGAAGATGTCAGAGGTGAGAGGCAAAGAAAGAATGAATGAGTCCTACATTTCCTTCACAATTACGAGTCAAGGATCAGGGTTTAGGTGGTTTGGGTTCAACTTTTGACCCATCCCCAACCCGATGTATCATCTTGAACACATGGCATGATTGTCCCAAGGCTGCATTTCTCATCAGGAAAAGGTAGAAGAATTCTAGGAATTCTTGTGTGTGTTAAATGAGGAAATGTGTGCAAAGGCTCAAAAAAAAAAAAAACCCACCTCAACACAAAGTGCTTGGTAGCTGTCAGCAATTGCACCTCACAGCAGAATGAAGCACATGCTTTCCCCTAATGTCAACTAGAGCTGCACGTTAACGTTAGCTGTCCACAGCCACCAGGAGTTACTCATGAAGCAAGAATCCCACACCACACCAACCACATTCTATCAGGGCTACCTTGTCGTCAGTGTGTCTCAGGGTGTCTGTTGCTGTAAAGAGACACTATGACCACCACCACTTTTATAAAGGAAAAGCATTAAATTTGGGTGACTTGCTTACAGTTCAGAGGCTCAGTCCTTTAGCATCGTGGCAGGGAGCATAGCAGTGTTTAGGCAGACATGGTGCTGGAGAAGTAGCTGAGAGTCCTACATCTTGCAGGCAACAGGAAGCTGGCTGAAACACTGAGTTAGGTGTCCTGTGCATAGGAAATCTTAAAGCCCACCCACACCGCGAAACACACTTCCTCCAGCAAGGCCATAACCACTCCAACAAAGCCACACCCCTTAAGAGTGTCACTCCCTATGAGATTGTGAGCTCCAATTACATTCTAACTACCACAATGTGTCTCTGTCCAAT